GCCAATCAGTTGATTGGCAGTCGGTAGGTGGAATGGTTTTGGGTTTCTTTAATATGAAGGACGTATAAAAATGGGTAAATATTCATCCCTTCACATCTGTGGAGGGTCTCTGGAACCCACAAATACGGATTGACGAATAATTAACAAATCAACTACATTCGTCGGAAAAAACATCACAGCAAGTGAAACTTTGTGGACCATAGATTACAGGGCCAATCCTAGTCCTGTTTGGATGAAATATATCATAGCATGAACAGCAGGAGTAAGGTGATACTCTCCTTATCCCTCAAAGATATGAATACAGCCTATGAACACACAGTGTGCACCTAAGCAGGCTTTCTCTGTGACATTAGAGAACTGAGAAATGTAGGTTAGAAATGGGGGTATTTGTATTCGTATACAAATACCCCCACAGAGGTGGACATAATGATGGTCCAGCCTCATGGAGCCAGACGATCCACTCACCGTGCCGCTGCTGTCACAACCTCCGCAGAGCGTTCTAATGACTCTGGAGATCGTGATTGGTTCAGCAGTCCTGGCAGGAGGCGGGGTGACAAGCCTCTCTGCTAGGTCAAAGAGTGGCTTGCCGAACGCGATCTCTGGAGCCATTGGAATGGGCTGGACCCTTGTTATATCCACCTGTGTGGGGGTATTCATATATGAATACCCCGATCTCTAATGTAGGTCCCATGATTGTACATAGAGATCATATGATACAGAAGTTGTATATTTGCAGGTTGATCAGAATTTCAAGTCAATTGTAGGCACAAATGGCCACATATGTAATCTAAACAGCATGTCTCTTTCCATTTTATCCCTTTCTGTAGTGAAATTAGCAGAATTTATATTTCCCAAACTTTTGCAATTCACTACAGCACAGAAGCTCAAAAGAAAGTCACTTTTGAATCATCATGGGTTGACAGGGAGGGAGAATTTATATGCTTGTGCCAAAATAAAAACATTTGGAAGAAAGTAAATTGCTTAGTTTGCTGTGTGTAATGCATTTCAGCAAAGAAAGAATGAACGAGGGTTTGCTCTAATGACCCTCACTTGATGTTTAACCTTTGCATTCATAAACAGATATCTAGGAAATTTCTGCAGTAAGAATGAAAATGAAGCCAGATTGCATTACCTCTATATAGAAGGTCAGAGGTTCAGATTACTAAAGTAATGAAACTTCAGCAGCCTGCTTCAGATCTATTAGGTTTGTCAGTTTTTATAAGCATGCTTACTTCAGGCATCCAATTATAAAATAAAGAGACTCTACATGCTGAGAGTCACTAGCAAGTCCTTACAGACAGATTTGCATGTACATATTGAAGAATTAACCCACTACTTTGATGGACAGGTAATCTGGATTAAATAGGTATGTTCCTTTTAAAATGACACAGCACAAAGGTGTACAGAAAACCTGTAGCTCTCCTGGAAACGAAGAAGAGCTTGAACACAAATGCAGGCTTTTTAATGAGCTTTTATGACAACCTCCAACAGCTTTAACTCTGCCGTGTTTTGTCTTGAATTTCTCATATGCTTGCATTAGAGCTGCTTGAAAAGCATTTGGAACTGCAGATACTGAATTCTTCCACTGTCTTTTATAATCTATATTATGGATGTGTATCTCAAAGCCTCTCACTCCCAGTCAGAAAATCAGGTGACCCTCTTTTCATCTTACACTGAAATTTCTCTGCATTTTAAAAAAAGCTAAAACAACCACATGGGATTTCTTGGCTGTTTTGTCATCTTTTTCATCTGGAAGCCAATCTGAGCAGAGACAACTTCTCAGATAATTTCTGTGCAAAGTGGCAAATTCCCTGAGAGAGATTCTTTGGAAAAGGTATTGAGCTGTGCAGAACTGGGCATTTTCCTGCATAAAGGGAGGGGGGCAAGCAAACATAATTTTAAAAAGAAAAAACAAGACCTAGGAACTGGTGGCGCTGCGGGCTAAACTGCAGAATCCTGTGCTGCAGGGTCAGAAGACCAGCAGTCGTAAGATCGAATCCATGGCACGGAGTGAGCGCCTGTCGCTTGTCCCAGCTCCCGCCAACCTAGCGGTTCGAAAGCATGCAAATGTGAGTAGATAAATAGGGACCACCTTGGTGGGAAGGTAACAGCGTTCCGTGTCTAAGTCGCACCGGCCATGTGACCACAGAAGATTGTCTTCGGACAAAACACTGGCTCTATGGCTTGGAAACGGGGATGAGCACCGCCCCCTAGAGTCGAACACGACTGGACAAAAATTGTCAAGGGGAACCTTTAGGAACTCATGAGAAGCCAGGAAATCTTGCTAGTGGTACAGGGGGAAGTCTCAGCATGAAGTTGCAGCTCAGTAAGACTGGGAAAATGGTCAAGAATGGGATGCCTCTTGAATATTCTGCACATCCCAAATCTGTATCACTGTTTCTCTGCATTTTACCCAAGATCATCTCTTTTAATCTTTGCCTAATGAAAAAGGCACTCATTTTGTTTCAGCATGATTCTCAGCTTCAACTCCTTTCCTATATTTTGATCCTTCCAATAGTGAGACTGGCAGGAACAGAAATTGTTCCTGGTGGCTGCCATTTATTCTTTCCTGAACACCTGAATTGGTTTTTTAAAAAATGCTATAAATATGGCATGGACTTTCAGCTGCTATTTATTTCCCAGAATGAACAGAAACAAAATGTCACATCCAAAGTATTCTGGGGAAAACAAAATGGCACTCACTAGAAATGGCAAGCAGATCACCTCCTGCCACTAACAGCAGTTGCAAAACACATGAAAAACTGAGGAGGAACAAGAAAGCCACTTTCACAGCCGCCACACATGCCCTTCTACCACTACTTGTAAAGAAACGTACATGCATGGTTGAGGCTTAATGAATGTAAAATGAAAACAATGACTTGCTTGTGTTGGGAGCTTCCTTTCCAAACAGGAAGTTTGGGCAGAGCTAGGACTGGCTAGGCCACAAAGCCTTCAAGCTTAGTCCTTTCTCCCTGGTGAGCCACATTTTAGATGCCTGTCTCTCAAGTGGAAATCCCAAAATAGTGAATTATAGGATTTCTAGTGCAAAAATTCCAATTAAACACCCATTTTCAATGGTCAATCATTAAGCATAGAAAAATCAGGTACAGTGCATGCAGGTGTACAGTATGTATTCAATTAAGATATTCAATTAAGAGTAGAACAACAAGAGCACTTACTTGGCGTGGACCATTCCACTTCTATAGCAGTGTGGTTAAGAGGTCGTGCAGTAACATTACTTCCTTTACTTGGCAAACCTGCCAATGTTGTTACCACTACTTTTTCGCTTGGTGTGTATCCTACTTCATTGTGCACTATAAGCTTATATTCATATGTTGTATACCTAAAGGATATAATGAATGCCATGAATAGAAATAAGAAAACATGTTTTGAAGAATTCAGGCACAATAGGGGTGTATTTTTAATTCATCAAATCAGAAAAAAGGTTAGTAGTGGGTTTTTTAAAGTATTTGTTCAGTTTCAGATTCAGAAGGAAAGAATTACAGCTTTGCTTGAAATTTCTGACCCACTCTACCACAATAACAATAAAAAAACCCAAAATGCTTTACAGAATTGTTGTTGTTTTCTAAACAGCAAGGGATTACAGCTCAATTCAAGATGCAATTACAGCAATGGCAAGCTGCCATCATTTTGCTATGAAGTTGATTCAGTGGTGCACTTTTCTCTTTTGGGAAACCCACTGATCTGACATTCTACATCTCCTTATAAAACTATTCTTCTAATGATGCATCAGCTGATCGGAGTCGAATGTTGTCTATTCCAAATCATGCAGCAGTGTGAACTCAAGCAGGAGGCACAAGATGTTCAACCAGAATGTCTAAGGAATGATGATCATATCAGACAAAATCCAAACAAAACGAAACAGACAAGGCAAAAACATGTGGAACTTAAAGAGTAACTTATATTTTAATGTGAGCTTTTGTGGACAAGTCCACTTCATCAGACATATGAAAACAAAATGAAATAATGGACAAAATATCAATTTCACAAGTAGAACATTCTAAATATTCATTAGCTCTAAGAGTCTTAGGTGTGTGGTACATCTCACATACAATAATTTATGGCCTACATTTGTTTTTGGGTTCCGTTATAAACATTCCTACAGGAGGCAGACAACAGATACCAGACATGAACAAAGAGGAGGGAGAAGAGAGGGGTGTGTGTGATATTGTGAGTTCTGATACCTGATTCGTGACCATTGACCTGTTGTCATAGAAATTGTCTTGTTTGTCCTATATAGAGTGCAGTGGGGCATTGTTGGCAAAAAATGGCATAGATTATATTAGCTGAGGAACAGGTGAAGGTGCCTTTGATATTCATGTGCCATTGTTAGGTCCTGTAATTGTGTTGCCAGAATAGATATGTGGGCAGAACTGACATTGGGGTCTCTGGTAGGGTTTATTCCCCCTGTCTTTGTTGCTGTTTTGTGGTCCATTGTGTGTTAGTATTTGCCTTAGGCTGGGGAGCTGTCTGTAGGCAAATATGGATCTCTCTCCGAGGGCTTTCGAGAGTGAAGTGTTCTTGTCAAGGATGGGCTAGAGATCACTTAAGATACGTGTGAGTGGTCTCAGTTGTGGACTGTAAGTGACAACTAGTGGTGTTCTGTCACTTTGTCTTCTGTGTCTGTCTTGCAGTAAGTTACTTCTAGGTATGTGTCTTGCTTTGTTGATTTGTTCCTTAATCATCTCAAGGGGGTATTGTAGTCTGAGGAACGCATTTTGTAAATCCTTGAGTTTGGAGTCTCTACCCTGTAGATCGGAGATGTGAGTATATCTTAGGGCTTGGCTGTCCACAATGGATTTTTTTATGTGTTCAGGATAGAACCTGGAAGAGTGCACGTAGGCATATGGGTTTTCGGTACAATGTGGTGCTATTATGTCCATGTTGTAGTTTCACAGCAGTGTCTAAAAATGCACTTATTGCATGTAAGTACATGGGTAGGTATGTTAAAAAGTACACCATTATCTTTCCCTCACCTTTTCAAATCTTGTTTGCACAATCACATGTGTGCTGTGCATGTGGAAAGGGAAAATGACCAGGCAGGGATGTCATAGGATACAATTTCCACACATTTGTCTGAATTGTTGATCAGAACATAGATGTGTGCAAGTTATATCTCCAAAGGTATTGTTTGTCAGCTCAATGGGATATCCAGAGGTTAAAACGGGGATCAGCAGTTCCTTGCACACAAGCAGGGCCACCTTGTGGAAGGAGATACATTTTACCATGGACAAAGGGGGCCTATGCTAGGCTGCAGTCCTCAAAACTGTGAGGAAAGCATTGAGAACAAACTGCAGTTCAAACATGACACTCCTAGGTACAGAATGGGAGAAGAAAGAAAAGGTGGGAGCAGGTTGTTCTGTTTTGCCAAATAAGCAAGAAAGGAAGTGCAAGGAAATGGTGAAACAGCACTTAAGGGAACAATAGAGCAGGGATAAGGGGGATAGTTCAGGGTGATAACAGTAGAAAGGAAGTCAGACTAGGTGTATCTGATTCTCTTAGCTTCTAACCACAAATTCACAGGAGGGAAGTACCCCTCTCTCCAAACATTTTTGTAGGCATCCTTCAGTCTCGGGAGACTATGGTATCGTGCTCTGTATGGAGGTCTTGGAACAGCGTCTAGTGTGGCTGAGAAGGCCAATTCAAGGGTGACAATCCCTTCCACACTGAAGACAAATACAATCTGTTCCCTGTCCAGCTCCCTGGTTTAGCTTGTTTCGGGACTGCCTCTTTGCCTCGGCCTGCTGTAGGAGTGTCTCTTCAAATTGGGAGAGGCTGTGATGCACCGCCTGCCTCCAGGCTGAATGCTCAGATGTCAAGGTTTCCCATCTGTTGAGGTCCATTCCTAAGGCCTTCAGATCCCACTTGCAGATGTCCTTGTATCACAGCTGTGGTCTCCTTCTGGGGCGATTTCCCTGCACTAATTCTTCATACAGGAGATCTTTTGGAATCTGACCATCAGCCATTCTCATGACATGCCCAAGCCAATGTAGATGGCGCTGTTTCAGTAATTTATACATGCTAAACATTACAGCTCGTTCTAGGACTACTCTATTTGTCCTGCCAGGTGATTCCAAAACGCATATGGAAGGTGTTCAGCTTCCTCTCCTGCCATGCACAAAGGGTCCAGGACTCACTGCAAGACAGGACACAGGCTCTATACACCTGGATTTTGGTGTATGCCGTCAGCTTCTTATTGAGCCATATTCTCTTTGTGAGACTTGGTGCTGTGTTTGCAAAGGTTTTTGTTCCCCAGCAAGAGCAGACTGAGCTTTAAACGTTATCAAATGCAGTTAAAAGTAGTATTTTAAAAGAAGGGGAGTGAAGCAGTGCCTCCTTACAATCCTTGATTAACTCCTCCAACAATCCAGAAAATAGGAAAAGAAGGGACTGATGAAAGAAAGGGGGAGTATGTACTGAACACGTATGATCCTGTAAAGAACTTGCCCAGTGCTCTCAGCATTTAGTTCAGCTACAGAAACAGTGCACCACTGAACTTAAAGACAATATTCTCCAAGTATCAGACTGTTGCTCCCTGTTTATAAGCCAGTACAGAGCACAGAAAGAGCACAGCACTTTAAGGAAAGTCACATAGCTAGCATGGAACCATCAGGATCATTTTGCTCCTGGGTGCCATGAATCTCTAGCACATATAAAGACATATTAGCAAGTTGCTAGAATGATGCAGAAAAACTGCATATTTAAAAGCCACAATGGACATGCTTCTCCATAGCACTATCTCCCCTCCCACCTTTACTCTGTAGTCTATGGGCCTGTCCACACTGTAAAATCTGGTGTGATCCAGTCAATGCTTAAAGGACCTTTATCTTAGATGCAAACTATTTTAACTCAAGTATGCATCAGTGAAGGCAGAACAAAGAGCTATTTTGCATCTTAATGAATTGTCCCAAAAAGATTGCATCTCCTCGCCCTGTACCAGAAAGATATGGACCAGCTCTTAAAGGGTAAGGATGGATAGTTTTAAGTAGAAACACTTATTTTCCCCCCATGCCAAACTGTATGATCAGGGGACCATATATTGTACCTATACTGTATGCCAGTATAGGGAGGCTCTTATTTACTGTTACTTCAAGACGAAATCCCAGAGGACCTTTAGCAACACAATTTTAATTTTGTGTCCCCACACATTTACTTAAAAGTAAATTAATAATTCAAAAACCCAACTGCATACAACACTGCTAACACATTGTACAGTTTGGCTGTTACAACCCAAGATGATGTCTACCAGATACATATGTAAAAGCTACGGCAGGTGTGCTTTTCAGTAACAGAGCTATCTCGATTCTTTTCTCTTTTCTGGCTTCCTACCTCAAAAATCACTCCACTGGTTGTTTTTGGTATAGTAGGGGAAAGAAATGAATACTAGGTTTCCTTCCCTTCCCCACCGCACAAGACAAAAGAAAGTAGAGAGGCAATTCGAAGGGAGAAAGATGGCACCATAAAAGGGGGTGGGATGGCCCATGCTGATCTCCCATTAAAAACTGCAGTCTAAGTGGCTGCTTTAGCTAACAAGAAAGTGTCAGATGGGGGTGGAAACTGTGCAGGCTTTCATCAAGGAAGAGCTAATAAACGTCCAAGGAACCTGAGATTTCCTAGACAAGCACATTACTGATTTATGGTGCTGATTCTCCTGTGCAGATATTCCCCCATGTCAACGGGCAGGCTAGTGCTTATACTCTGTGATTTGACTTTAAAATTATGTGCAAATGGATTGTCTAAAACTCTAAACAGTTCAATTCTTGCTTTCTTAAGCATGGTGTTCTTTAAAACAGAAAGAAACCACATGCAAGATGCAGGAATGAGAAAACAACAAAAAGAAAACAAAACCAGGTGTGTTAATAAGGGCTAATGCCAAAGGAGATGACAGAAAATATTTCATTACATAATTAACATGTTCTCAACACAGAGACATAAGGAACACTTTGAACTATTAAGCACAGCCATACAAAATGCCAGCATTTGTTTTTTTTTATAGTTTTTGTAATCTCACCTGCTAAGACCCTTATCTTCATAAAACCACTGAGTTCCTGAGTAAATATTGTGCCAGAGATTTAAATCTTCAGGGGGATTTGATGCAAGTGGCTGCTGGATTTTACGTCTCAGGAGCTCATATCTAACACAAAAGACAAGCAGAATGCTGGGATTATCTCAACTAATGTTATTACCAAAAAAAATCAGGTTGTTTTTAAAAATCACACATTATTTTGTTGTTACAGCTGTAAAGTTTTTTTTAAAAAATGTTTCAGCTTCTGACATTTTCTGTAACTTACCCAATTAGTTTCAAAACACATGATGGTATGTTTGTAACACTCATTTTGTAAGAATGTAAGACTTTGAAGATATTTAAAGGCTTATAAAATTAAATATTTACATAACCTTTCAGAACTTTGAATGGACATTCTTAGTATAGGAAAGCCTAAGTGAAGGAAGCAAAATTCAGTGAAATCTGTACAGTTGTATTTGTAATAGATGCTGTATTCAAACTACAAATTTAAATCAGTTTGAATGGGTTAAATTTTAATGGCTTCCCCAGGAAACACTCTGAAAAGAGATGGCAACTAGAGATGGAGACTTCATATTCATATCTCTGGGGATGCAAATATGAAGGGCGGCACAACAGAAGTCTGTTCCCTTCCCACAGAACCAGTCGGTCCATTAACCAGGCTCTGAACAGTTCCTTCATCCATTGGAGGTAACATCATGCCAACTGCAGAAGTAGACCGACTGGTTCTGCCCCACATCCCAACACAGCTGACCACTCTGGCGAGGAGGCAGGATGACAAGCAGTCATGGGAAGTTGTGTGGGAAGGAGGGGTAGAGCTAGTCTGGCTACTTCTGCAATTGGCATGATGTTGCTGCCAACGGAGATATGTATTGTGCAGAGCCCAGTGAGTGGACCAGGCTGGTTCTGGGGGGAGGGAATGGACTTCTGTGGCACCCGTGGTGCTGCGCTTCGTATACCCAGGGGATATGAATACAAAGCTCCCATCTCTAGTGGCAACCCACTGCCTTATTCTGTGGATGCATTCCCTTTGTGCATGGATGGTACTGGTTTCATTCTGTAAGCATCAATACTGACATCAGTACTAGAAAGAGAATGTTCAGTTCTCAGAGAAAAGACAGTGAATAGAATAATAGGAAAATACACAGCCCTCATATAGAAAGATGAATCTGTCACTATTATTTTCTCCCACACCCCCACCGCCTGTACAAAACTCTCTCTCTCTCTCTCTCTCTCTCTGTCTGTCTGTCTGTCTGTCTCTCTCTCTCTCTCTCTCTCTCACACACACACACACATTCAAGTTCCCTTTGTCATATTTTGTCCCATTTTTTGTTTCTGAATTCTGACTTGTGTTGATTTTGTAAGTGCTGATTAGTAAAGTCCCCTTTCTACATGTCTCAAAAAAATCTTATTCAAAATTCTTGTTTAAAATGTTGTTTCAATGTGGTCCCTGAGCTCCCTCTTAATAAATCTAATTTTCTTTTAAACAAAACCAGTAACAAAGAGATAACCGATACTCTAAGCTTCTCCCATCCATATTCCAGCTGCAAATGCCACTATCAGTGGTGGGATGTGAGGACCTGTAGAGAAACTAATTTTGGCTGCCACCATCAACCTGGGGTGGGGGTTGCCATATTAGTTTTTATTCATACAATGTAGGAAGGGAATGCATCCTCCTAGATATGGCATCTCCTTTTGGAGTTAAAATGATAAAGAGATCTGGGGCGAGGGTCTAGGGAGACATCCATCTTTCTTTCCATACAATACTGTATCCTTCGGAAAGATAGCCTGTCACATCACATCCTTTTTCCTAAGGCATTTGCACCACTTTGAATGCTGTACCAGATACCAGCAATGTGAGGAACCAAGCCTTCAAGCTACTTTAGACCACTATTACGGCAGAGAAAGAGAGAGCATATGTATAATCATGTACATTAATGTGATTATTAAGCCACAGGATTTGGGTTGAAATTGGCAGGACCAAAGAAAGCCAAGTAATCTGACTTCAGCTCCACTCAGGACACTACTTATTAAAAATGAAATGTTGTTGTTTCCTTTAGACAGATTTCATCAATTCCAGCCTCCAAAAAAGAGAACAGAGAAACTGAATTCCAAAGTTAACTTCACCAAAATATTGCGCTGTCTTCGCATCATAAAATCATTCCAGTGTTATTGGTTTATCAACATCAACAGAAGCACCACCCTACACCCCCCCCAATCCACTCAGAATTATTTAGTTCTGGTTGGTCTCCCTGCAATTTGATATAGAAGCCCAGGGAAATATCACAATCTTTCAAAGCACTGCCAGGTGACTGTGTACAAATCAGCTGCAGTAGCGGTGGCTGCTCTATACACTTCTCTCTCTCTCCGTCATACTGTGCAGAGCAACTGCTTGAGTGGCTGTTCTGGCTGGAAGCAGCATGGATGAAAATGAAGTTTGCAGCAACAGTTTATGTTGTATAACTTCTGTCGCCAGTAGTGAGAGAATAAATGCACAGAACTGTAAGTTGGTTTCCCCAAGCTGCCTTATTATTCTATGATGCCTGCATAGCAATTAGCCATAGTTATACATTAAGCAAGGCTAGGAAGAACGTCTCATACCAAATGCATAATTTCCTTTTTTTTCCCCCTTTCCATTCTGAAGCTAGCATTTATCAAGCTGGCACCTTCCCTGTGTCCTTGGGTGATAGCTTCCAGCATTCCTGATAAGCCACTGTGAGTGCTGGCTGGCTGTGCCTACCAAGTCAAAAAGCATCTGCAAGGCACTAATTTGGGGAAGGTGGTCCAAGAACTCCAGATCATTCTGGAGTGGCACTGAAAGAACTGCTTTGCCAGTTGTACCATGATACATAGAAACAGCCAGGCCTGGGGAGACCATAATACTCACTGGATACATTTTTTTGCACTGGCAAACTCCAATTTTATATTGTTCCATATCTGAATTTTCGCTTTTTCTTTCTCCGCTGTGATGATAGCTAGTCACAGCTCACAACAGATGACCACTGGGTCTACTGGCAAGTTGCTGGATTGCTAGGAAAGAATGGGCTCCCATTTATCTCCAAAGCAAGAGCGCTGCAGAAGTACAGTGGTGCCTCGCTTAACGATTGCCTCGTTAAAGACGAAACCACTATATGATGAAGTTTTGTGATCGCTTTAGCGATCGCAAAATGATGTTCCTATGGGGAAAATTCGCTTAACGATGATTGGTTCCATGCTTCGGGAATCGATTTTTCGCTAAATGATGATTTAGAAACAGCTGATTGGTAGTTCTAAAATGGTCGCCCACTGTGCAAAATGGCTCCCCGCTGTGTTTTCAGGATGGATTCCCCGCTTTACAGGCAGCGAAAATGGCTGCCCCTATGGAGGATCTTCATTGGATGGTGAGTTTTCAGCCGATTGGAACGCATTGAACCAGTTTCAGTGCATTTCAATGGGCTTTTACGTTTTGCAAGATGATGTTTTCATAAGACAGTGATTTTTATGGAACGAATTAACATCGTCTTGCGAGGCACCACTGTAATGGTCTCAGATAACTACACATTTCATAGCTTAATTTCAAAGCCCATAGAGTAAACAGGAAGTAGGTCAATCTACATTTGCAAATCCATTATTTTCCTCTTTTTAGGGAACTGGTCCACACTATTCTGTCTTCAGTGAAGCCCCTTACATTTATATACAGTAGGCAGTTTTCTAGGGGAACTTCTCTGTAATTATTATCACCTTATTTCACAAATCCAAATTAACTTTCTAAGGAACCACAGGAAGCCTGGAACCGCAGATAAAAAATAGATTCTATACACATATATAGAGGATCATATTTTGATAGAACTGTGTTTGTTATTAGTGGCATTACCTTATGTTGGGCCCATTGGGTCTGGTGGGTGGTTGCCAAGTAACAGCAATAAATGACTCACTAATTGGGGTCACAGATAATGGGCTGATGCCTTGCGGAAGTGCTGGATGAGTAGCCAGGAAAGTAGGTAGACTTTCTGTGCACCCTCCAATGTAGCCACCACCTCCAGAGCAAGCCATGATGGTGACCGAGTAGTTCGTAAAAGGAATCAGGTTGGTTACTATGTGGCTCATGGAAGAAGACAGGTTGCTGGTAAGGGTGATTCGAGGATCTGGCATGCGGATTTCATAGCTGAGTATTTCTCCATTCAATATGAGAGGAGATTTCCAGGAAACCTGGGGAGACAATAAGAAACTTAAAAATATCAAATTAGCACAATCCCTGTGTTATACTGTTTTCTTCAAATGTAACTTGTACTAGGTATTTACTCTTATTTATTTGTTGTTTACAGTGTGCATACCTTAACAAAATATTGCTCATATCTGCAGTTAATTATCACTGAGTTCTCAAAATCATTGTAATTATATATGGTATCTGTCTTATCCATTCTCTGATGTCAGAAATGACCTGCTTTTGACTTGAAAGGTGCTAAAGAATGTGAGACATTAAGAACTAGAAACATCCTCACACAATTATACCTGTGTACCACCTAGCTGCAGAAATTTTTAAAAGGGCTAAAGGTCTTTGATTATAAAGAGCTTGGAACACCTTTAAACAAAACAATGTGAACAGGACATTTTGAATCACAGAAGCAGAAACATGCTTAGCAGTATTATCATGGGGGGAAATTATTCTTAAGCATTTTCTGCTCAGGTTTCTGCTACTTCTAGTTCACAATAACATGAAAGTAAATGACAAAAATACTGCATGGAAACAAATCTAAAGCTTGGGGGAGGCCAAAGTGAATCCATCCTACTTATTTGCATTATTTCCATCCTCCCTTATGAAACAGTGTAAAAATCACCCAGGCAAGGAAATATTATGTTGTAATTTACAACATGAAAGAAAAGATATTTCTTCCAGCTACACCCTCCATGTATTACAAACACACAACTGATGTAAAACCTCAGGGTGGCAGTTGACCATTCCTCTTGAGAATCATGCAAGTATAAAAGGAGTTATAAACAAGAAAGGCCGTAGAAAACTGTTAATGCTTTTATGTTATTGGAAAGAATGCCAACAGAATCTTAAAGAAACAAACGTGTGTTGTTTAATGATAACTTGCCTTACTCTGAAATAAACCCTGAATCTATCCAAGCCAGTATTGCTTATTACTCCATCTAACAGTAGTTTACTGTGATTTCTTATGACAGAGATCCTTCAGCTGGAAATGCTGGTGATTAAATCTGCTCAGGCCTTTCCTTCATTTGATCAAGTACCATATTTTTCCGTTTATAAGACGACCCAAAGTATAAGACGAACCCCCCTTTTTCTAACCCCAAATTAGAAAAAGCAGGGATCAAAGGGCTCTCTTTTTGCTAAGCCCCATGCCTTGGCAAAAGGCAAGGAAAGGGGCTGTCAAGAGGCACCAGAGCCCATGTGAATGCTCCTTTGCCTCCATCTCTGCCTCTTGCTGCTGCTGCTGCCTCAGCCATGGGGGGGGGGGAGACAAGCCGGGAGTTAGGGAAGAGGCAATTGGCTAACAGCGGGGGGCAGCAAGAAGCATCCGAGAGTGCACGCACAACTGCTTCCTTCCATTTATAAAACGACCCTCAATTTTTCCTCTATTTTAGGAAAAATGTTGTCTTGTACACGGTAAAATACGGTAATCCATTCCATTTCTACCCAATAGGACAGATTATTCACACTCTGCACTCCACCCTGCTGGACCAGATCTGTCCATTTCCA